GCGCGGGGCAGCGGGGCAGCTGGAGCGTGACAGCGGGGCAACTGGCACGGGGCAGCTGGGTTTCTGGGTTATTCTCAGATTCCTGGGTCAACCCGAACCCGACCCGGTTTTGCGAAAGGGTGGTCGGTTTTCAAGACCAGAACCCGACCCGCTTCGGGTCAACCCAAACCCGAAATTTTCGTGTCGGGTTCTGGTCAGGTCCAATGTTGACACCCCTATTTGTATCTTTCTTATCTTTCTTCTAAAGCATTTGAAGGCATTGGTTGGCCGATTTGTTAGCATTTGCCGGAGGAGTTTGTGGTGGACGTTGGCCCAAAGTTGCTATGGTGGACCACTAGTTTGTATGTCTTTGAGCACTAATCATTTTGTCTATTATTTTGATGCATGTGAGGTGAACACTAGCTGGTTGTTCTGAGGGTAGTTTTTATTTTAAATTTTCTTAGTGTATAACTTCCATTTGTTTTCAAGTTTGTTTGGTGTTGGCTTACTAAGTGTTAAATTGGGTGAGATTCTAATTTCCTTAGTGTTCTCCTTTGATTTTTTTTTAATCCACTTAGCTTGCATCAGACCTTTGTATACACTAGGCAAAAGCATGGTTCCTCCTAGGGCATTGTTCGCCTCCCTTGGGGTTGACTCCACACGCTAATGAAGAGAGAGGAGGGGCAGGTGAGGGAAATTTGCCTTGGGGTTCCAGTTGGCAAACTTGTTTGTTTTGAGGTAGGTCACATTATGCCTATCCAATTTTCAAAAATACGAAGTTTTGATTTAATTTTTCAAAAATTTCTATTTATGTTAGCGAAAAACACATATAACTTTGCACTGGTAAAACTTTCACTGCATAACCTTTTATATGTTATAGAGATTAAGATTATGAGCATTTTAAATATTTTATGAAAATTTTACAACAGGGTTTTTGGGAATTTTGATATTTTTATTGAATAGAAAATTATCTGAACCCTGAAAAATAATATTGTTGTGCGATAAAAATTTTAAAACATTATTCTGAACATACCCTGGAAATTTATTTATTTTTTTTTTTTGGTAGGATTTTTTGTTGTCTATTGTTATAAAAAACTGTGCAATATTGACACATGCTTAATTACTCTTTAACTGCTATAATGTTATGATATATATGCATATGTGGTTAAATTATATATGCTGAAAGACATAAGAGGCCAAAATTATTTGAGATTCTGTCATGTTAGGGAATATTCTGGAGCATATAAGGTATATTCTAATGGCTATAAGCCATATTATGGTGCTCATTATAAGCACAAAAGGGAGTCACAAGGGGTCAGAATCCTTTCAGATTTTGTATGAGTCCAAGGAATATGATATGAACTACTCTATAATATGAATTATAATTTATTTATTTACTCAGTAATGTTATTTAAATAATTACTATTTTACTCATATTATATTTCTTAGTACAATAATTCAACTGCTTCTAAATATTTAGCAAAATTTAATAAAAAAATTTAAAAAATTAGATTGAATTGTGTGGTCTGCTGAAATGTTATAGCTCATTGTTGTTTTTCTTTTGATTTTCAGGATCTAGGAAAAGGAAGAGACTATTTATTAGCAGTTTAAGATCATATTTGAGTTTATAGGTATTTCTCTTTTAATTTTTGTACAATCATGACTAATTTATTATTCAGTTCTATAACTCTGCATGTAGCCATGCACTATAATGTAGATACATTTTGATGAAGTAATAAAAAATCTTATGGATGAGTTTATTTTTAGTATTAGAATGTTTTGGTAGCTCTATAATTTGTAATTTATTTAAAATGAATATTGAAAGAGAATCTGAAACATTCCAAAACTAGAACTTGGGATTAGTCTATCATAACTCAATGCGATAGGACATGTCCTAATCATATTGGGTTATGACAGTTTTAACCCAAGGGTTAGGGTTATGATTGATTTTAGCTGAAATTAGTTTGTGTTTAGGGAATTTTGGGCTCTAGCCGCTAACTAGAGTAGGAGTGTAAAAAATTGACACGATACGAAAATCCGACTCGAATATGACCTGAATTTTTCAAGTTAAGGTCAACTCAGTTAAAGAACGGGTCAAGTTCGGGTCCTGATTTTTGGCCCGTTCCGAATTATGAGTTAGGTTTGGGTCAACCCGCGAACCCAACAATGACTCGGATTTGCCGCGTACTGTTCATGGTGCCCATCTCGCGCACGCACAGACGCACCATGCGTGCCCATTGCCCAATGCTCGCTGCTTGTGTCAGTTACCATGCGCGTCTCGTCAGGCAAACTCGCCTCGTTCAGCGTCTTGCCAGGCGGACTACTGCTAGGCAAACTCGCCTTGTCATGTTCAGCGTCTCGCTTGACAACTCGCCTTGCTCCCGCGACCGCCAACACATTCCATCCCTACCAGGCAAACTCGCCTCATTCTGCGACGTTTGTTAACCCAGGCTAATCATGTCGTGTCAGGTTCGGGTTGTATTTTCTAACCCGTTTGCAAAAGCGTGTCGGGTCAAACAGTAGCAATCGATGTCGGGTTCAACCCAAACCCGACCCGTAAACCGATTTTAACACCCCAAAATGGGATAGTCGGGTCTTCCTCTTCAATTGAAGATACTTGTATCTTGTTGCTTTTCTTTCATAATTCTTACAATAAAAGTGATTCAAGGTGTGTTCATCCAAGTTTTGTCTGTGGTTCGCTGTTTTGGGTTGAAAGCTCTCTTATTTCCTATCATTTATCATAAGCAAAAATCAAGTGAATCTAACCACATACCTACGTGAAATAGGGATTCTAATAATCAAGTAAATGCAGTTTGAGATAGATAAATTCTGCTAATACTAAGTACATAATTGGTCTAATAATGGTTGGCAATTTTGTAATGATGATAATGTCTTTCCAATCATTCGTCAGCTCTTCAAGCTCAGAAATCATAAATGCATATATGGAAAAGAACACAGAAGTAACATTGTTGAATGGTTGAAAAAAGGATCTAAGATACAAGGAAATTCAAATCACAGATGAGAAGGATTCAAAAGTTATAAAGCATAAAAAAATCGCAAAAATTTTCAAGAAACTTTAGGCAAAATTTTGAGAATAATGAAGAACGGAAAAGATTTAGGGCCAAAAAAAACTTTCTATAACCATAACACAAACAAATGATCACAAAGCCAAACCATCTCCCAAAAAATAAAAAGATGAGCATCGATAAGTCCAGCGGTTTGTGCGTTATATTTGGTGACGCATATGTAAAATTATATCTTATTGGCTCGTGTGTAAAACTAACTGTCCTCATTTCTTATTGTCTTTGCCTACTATACAGATCATCTGCCTAATATCTAATCTATAATAACATGAGACTCATGCGGTTAATGAATAATCAAATTAATCAGTTTGCAGGTAAAAGCTTTTTATTGATTTTTTATTCTTCTGAATAGAAAACATCGAGCAGTAAAAAATACATAAGATTTCCAATTGTTGAAGTGCAAATAAAGAAATTTATTTGCAAGCACCTTTGCAATCACTTCCGCGGTTTCCTTGAAATCTACACATCTGGAAATATTGGACTTGGCTAGAAACTCATCAATCAAACGGACTCCAATATTATAGCCCCTACAGAACAATGCAACAGTCATTGCAAAAGGTATGCTTCATAAAATAAACTCATGCAAACTAAACATAACCATGCCACAAAAACAGAAGTATTTACGAGAGGATATAGAGATTTGAGAGTTTTCATTATTCCTCAGACAAGAAATCTTGAAAAATGCAACATGCAAAGCTATATGCAATCTTGCTTAGGGTCTGGAGCTCCTATTGAAACAATCTTGTGACGCCCAAGAGTAGTGATAATATGTACAAAACAAAAGCTAGTCTTCTAACATGGTCTAAACTACACAATCTGATGCGCACCTTAGATAGAGGTAACAATTGAAGCAACATTATATTTTTGAGTGTGGAGTGCCTTTACTCAGTTGAGTGAAGCGCGCCTCAAGCTATGCCACAAGACCATTTTGATGAGGCACAAGCCTCAATTTGATTTGTTATTGGTATTAGGCTTTTTGAATTTATAAATTCAAAACTCAATTGCCCTTATGATTAAATCTAAACACATTTCATTAAAAAAAAAAAACTAAAATAGTGAACCATGAACCTCAGGGCTACAACTCATGCACATGCATCTACAAGCCACACATGGCCGGCTGCATGGAAACCCTGCTGCCACCATGGTTACACTTAAGCCACTCCACCACCATCGTTATTGTACCACCAAAAACCCTAACCGATGGCCCTTACCTTCTTAATTTTTTTCTCCTCTTTTCTTATTTCTTTCTTTATTTACTTATTATGTTTTATTTAATCATTTTTTATTTCCAATTCAATGTTTTGAATTAGTTTTCCAATTTAAGATAATTTGAAAATGGTTAAAAGTATTAAGAGTTCAACAGGAAAAAAAAAAAAAAGAGAGATTAGATATGGAAGTATAATCTTCAAGGGCAAATTTGCAAGTGTGAGAAGACATACATTTATTTGAAATAAAATCATTCTGATTAAATAGTTGAAGATGTTATAAGAATAAACAGCATCTTTTTTATTCTCATAAAGTTGTTGCACCATGTACCAAAATCCCCGATGAAGTGACAGAAGAGATTCGTGCTTACATGAATAAAGCAACAATGTCAAAGCATTGGGCTCATAAGCAATTTGATGATAGAGCTAATGGTGGCTCATATTATGGTAATGGGCTTAGTAGCAAAGATTCTCCTATGTTCATTAATGGTACTGCTGCTAGAGCTACCCTTTAAGTTGACACCATTCTAAAGTGATAAGGTTTGTCCCCACCACCTAAGTCAACGAAGTTGCACCAACCAAGAGAGCCCAATCAAAGGAGAAGTTAGGTATTCCTACCTTAGAGTAGAAGCTTATAGGATCCTTTAAGAGGGCACACAATGACATGATATTCACTAACTAGCTCAACCCATTAGGTTAGGCTAGATAAGTTAGATAGGTTAGCTTGGATTCGTCCAAAAGACCATAATTCGGTCCCAATCTAAATATGACTTTCCATATTTTTCTTCTAATTTAAAATGGCCTCAACACGCTGGTCTGAATTTCACCCGCTCTTTGATGCTATTGGTTCGAGTAGGCCAAGTTAAATCAGCCTATTTGGTGCGGTCAATTTATGCCGGCCAATTTGACCTTGATCTCATTAATTTAATATATCAAATCCATCAATTTCTGCAGACCAATCTGGTCGATTTATGCAGACATGTAAACCAAATTGCAGCCATTGATAGAATGAATAGCAATGAACACATTATAAGAAGAACAGAGAAGAGATATTGTAAACAATAACTGACATTATCACATTCCTAACCCTGTTGGCTTACTTAAATATGTGTAGAGGATTTTCCAATCGCTCCTCCGCTCCTCCACTCCAATAATACAACACTTAACCTTCCTTCATGCTACCTAAAAAACGTAGCTATCCTGCTTTCTTGCTCTCGTATCACCTATCCTTATGCAGCTCTCACTCACCCTCAAATCTTGCTTGAAAGATAGAGAAGCCCCGAGCCCTCACACTCGATTCTCTCTCGTTTCAGCAGGACGAATGAAAATCCCAGTCCCTCTACTGTATTCGAATGGCCAAAAGCAAAGTGGCAAGGGATGTGTCGATCGTGCTCCTCCAAAGATCTTAATCAGACGGCTGTAAATAAAATTTAATGCCCCTGATAGCAATTAATCGCTGCTTGCTGCAGAAGATCGTGAAAAAAGGTGGATGCGAGGTGGGCGGCTGCTGCTATGAACTCGCGCCGCTTGATCGGGTTTTAAATGATTTGGCTCAACATTTTATGATTGTATCAAAACAAAACAATTTCATTTTGAGAGAATTAATCAGACCATTTGAATTAAATCAAACTTAATTGAAATTGAACTGATCCAAAAGAATTTTAATTGAGTTAGATCTAGTTGAAGTCGACCAGACTTGATGGAATTAGCTAATATGAGTCAGATCTGGTTTCGGCTGATTGAATTCATTCAATGGATGTTAATTTAGTTTAATTTTATTTAGATGAAATTCAATGTATATATATATATATGGCTGCGCTCCAATTTTTTTTTTTTACTGATTTAATCTGATTAATATTCAATCAATTTTGAGTTGAATCAAACCATTTCAGTTCGGCTCAATCTATTGAGTCAATTTAATATAGATGGATTTGACATATTGAATTAATGGACTCAAGATAAAATTGGTCGGCATAAATCGACTGCACCAAATAGGCTGATTTAACTTGGACGATTCGAACAAATAGCATCAAAGAGCAGGTGAAATTCAGATCGCCTCATTGAGGCCGGTTTAAATTAAAAGGAAAATATGGAAAGTAAAATTTAGGTTGAGACTGGATTAAGGTCGATTGTATGAGTCCAAGCTGACCTATATAGCTTATCTAGCCTAACCTAGTGGGCTGAGCTAGTTAATGAATATCATGCCATTAGGTGTCCACCTAAAGGATCCAATAGACTTTTACTCTAAGATAGGAAGACCTAACTTCTAGGAGAACCCTAGGGGGAAGAAAGAAGTCGACCTCAACAAAAGTGAAGTCAACAGCAATAAATCTATCAATTCAACAAACGACATAAGATGAAAAGTGGGAAAATGAAATGGGATTTCTACTCCGCAATATCTAGCCCAAAAGCTAATGGCTTGGCCAAGGCATTTAATAAGGCCTTATAAGGCTATTCAAGAATATGCTCTCTAAAAATAAACGAAAATGGCATGACAAACTAATAGAGGCTCCATGGGCCAAATGCACGCCATATAAAATTATGCCCATTCCACTCTATACTTGTATATTTTTAGAACAGAGGCAACACTTCCTCTCAAGATTAAGGCACCTTCAATCCAAATGGACATTCAATGTGAACTTACAAGAAGAAAATAACTATTTAAGACTCTAGGAACTTGAAGCCCTAAATAAAGTTTGACTTCAAGCTAACAAAATTTAGAAAGTCAAAGTGCAAGGATAGCCAAATCACATTATCGTATTGCTCTTCCTGGAAGCTTTAAAGTGAGTGAAAATAGTCATAGTGCATCAAAGACACATAATTCTTAACTACTACAAAAGCCACATATTTGACCCAAATTGGGAAGGGTGATGAGAAAGTATATGAGAGAGGAGTCTATCAACTTAACAATAAGGAGGGTTTAAGGCTTATGCCTCGCATAAAAGATTAAAAGACCACTACCTTCAAAAGTATTATACATAGTAGGCAAAGTCATTATGTAAACTCATCATACTCAAGGGATGAGCTCTCCTCATTAGCTCAACATGCTCTAATATTCGTGTTAATTCTTATATAAGGTTTAAATGAGTCTAATCAAGTAAAGCTGCAACTAATTCAACATGATCAAAGAGCTAAACTAGTTAAACTATCATCTAATAAACTTAAAAGCTAAAATTGGATTATTTTTTGAAATTCCACTATCGAACAGAGGGTAATGTTAGGGGTGTCAAAACTTGATCCAACCCGGACTTGACCCGAAAAATTCTAGGTTCAGGTCAACCCGTTTTTCATACAGGTCGGGTTCAGGTTCCATATTCCGACCAGTTTATAAAACTGGGTCGAGTTTGGGTTGATCCGAAAACACGAAACGACCCGAAGGCACCCGAACTCTGCCCTCTGCACCATAGCGCCAGCAAGACCTGCGAACTTGTGCTCGTGTCCGGACTTCGCCCTCCTCCCTCCACATGTAGCGCCAGCGAGCCCTCCCAAGGACCCGTGCTAGCATCCGGACTCTGCATCAGCTTACCCGGACTAGTGCTTGCATCCGGACTCAACTGGTTGTGTTCCGAGTTCGCGGGCCCGGTCGAGCCAACCCGGTAACCGACGTGGGTTAGGTCCAACTCTAAATTTCCGACCCATTTACAGAACTGGGTAATGTTCAAGTCAACCCGTTTAGACCCGGGTCAATTTCGGGTTCGATTCGAACCTGAACCGAAAACCCATTTTGACACCCCTAAGTAATGTTATACAAATGCCATTAAATATAATTTAGTCAAGTTTCATGGTCATAACCTTAAAAGCTAACCAAGAACTCATATTAACCATGATAGAATATCTTGGTTCATAGATCTTAAGCAACAAACAGTTTTGCTAATTCAACAACTTCCAATAGCTAATCAACATACAAATCTCAAACTCAATAAATCTTAAGATTGAGCTTCAACATTAAGTCCCAATTTACCAAGCCTAAGGGCCAAACTAGCATTCTTGACTCATAAAAGTCTAATTTGAGATGCTTCATTGATTCAACAAGCTTTAGTAGTCAAATCAACATTTAAATCTCACGCTCAAAGTCTAAAGATCAAGCTTAAATATCATGTAGGTAAACAATAAGCTTATAAGCCTAAGAATCAAAGTAGCATTTACAAGTCACAAAATTCAACAAGCTTCAATAGTCAAATTCAACATATAAGGTCCAATTTCAACAAGTCTAATGATCAAGCTTGAATAAGCTCAATTCAGCAAGCTTAAGAGTTGAATTAGTATTCTTATTTCACAAAAACTAAAAGTTGGGTTGTCTAGCTGATTTAATAAGCCCAAGAAGTCAATTTACCATACATATCCTAGCTCAAAAAGTCCAAAGACCAAGCTTGATTATTAATTGTCAATTCAAAAAGCCTAAAGGTTAAATTCACGTCCTCAAGAGCTGAGCAATCCAACAAACTCAACAACCATTAATAGTCGAGTTGACATATATGTATATTAGTTCAATAAATCCAATAGAATGAATCATCTCTCTGCCACTTTAATAAGCCTAGAGGCCAAATCTACACTGCTTAGGGGTCAAGATATCCTGTCAACTCAAAAAGTCATAATTGTCGAGTTAACATATATGTATAATGGTCCAATAAACTCAAAGGGATGAATCAAAACCTAGGTAGTCCTTAAAGTCTAAAGGCCAAGCTATCATGTTAATTCAACAAGCTATTGCAACTGAGTTGACATATATGAGTGATATAATAATAGTTCAACAAGACCGAGGACTTAACCATCACTTCACTAGTTCAACATGCCCAAGGAGCAAATTAGCACCCTTTGCACTCAAGTCTAAGGGACAAAATACCATTACAGCTCAACAAACTCTAACTATCGAATCAATTTCCATACCTACACTGGCCCAAAAAGTATGAGGATTAAGTCTGGTTGCCCTCAAATTCCACAAGCCCAAGCACTGAACTAGTAAATATCCAAGCTCAACAAGTCATAAGAACTAGCTAGGCTCCTAATAATTAAATAATATTAAAGAGAAAATATCGTAATGCAAAAGGCCACTATTAATGACATATAAATAAAATGAGATTGGTTTAATATACATGAACGTTTAAGAAAGACAATTAGATTGAAAAATAAATTGTCATTGAAATGTAACAACTAACAATTTGGTTGTATCAAATTAGAGCAAACAAAATTAAATGTAAAACAAACAAAAAAATGGTAGCATAATTAAAGGAAGAAAATGCTAGATAAAATTATGGTATAGAAAAATGAAAGACTAAACATTATTATATATGATGGTAGTTCCAATAGATGAAGAACACAGCAGCTTCTAATAGAGAAAATGGTTTAATAGAACATGGACCGTTGGCTTCTAGCAAAGAAGATTGGAGACATGTAGGAGCAAATAAGGAGGGTCATATTGACTTGAGTGAGGACTAAATTTGACTTGCAAAGAAGATTGAAGACAAAAAGATATATGTGTTGGCTCGAGATAGGACTAAATTGGATTAGAAGAGGAGATCAAGACTTGAAAGGGGGCTCAATCACTGAGAGATCGAAACTTGGGAGTGGGATGAGGTCTTCAAATAAGGCCTATGAAAACTATGATACAATATTAGTTTCCAAAAAAAAAAAAGAGGAAGAATAAGAACTCTTCATTTGAGAATGAGATTAGATAGTTGATATCAAATAAGAAGGAAAATGAATATTCTTAGTTTGATGCTGCGAAGGTGTAAAAGGATATCACTCATTGTCCTAATTAGATCGAATGAATGCATACAAGAAGCTCTCAAGATTTTGAGATGAACTGAGTGAGGGTCCTTTACTATGTGTAATGGATGAATGCTTCCCATGTTTGAGAGATTGTAAGGTTGAAACTATCTCAGTAATTTCCTTAGGAAGTACTTGTTAGACCGGTCCAGTGGACTGGTCCAACCGGTCCGTGCGGGACCGGACCAGCGCGAACTGGGCGGAGAAATCTCCGCCCGCTGGGATGCCGAGCGAGCCGCACACCGTGTGGGAGCTTTTTAGGAAGCTTTTTTAAGGGTTTTGAGAGGACATCCATAAAAAAATTTTCATGGGCTTTACTATGTAAAGGACTTTGAGATGAACTGAGTGAGAGTCCTTTACTATGTGTAATGGATGAATGCTTCCACTGTTTGAGAGATTGTAAGGTTGAAACTATCTCAGTAATTTCCTTAGGAAGTACTCAGCAGCCAGACGGCAGACATCCATAAAAAAATTTTCATGGGAAGAAATAAATCTTTCACGCAAATTTAAATCTCTTTGTTTGTGATGTTTTCTTGGGCCTCTTTTCTCTAAAAGTTGAGTGTTCTTGGGCTTTGTTAAAGGTTTCTAGGTGTCCTTATTTTGTGCAATGTTTGTAGCTTCAATTTAATAAATTGAAACCCCTCTCTTTTCCGTGTGCGTATGCTTAATTCAGTAGAAGCACGCAAATCATGGTCTCTCTTTTCTTATTTGATCTCCTATACATTACTTAACGGTACTCAGTATTCACTCTTGATTGCTGATTTTGCATAAAAATTAAGTATTTTTCCTGATACCAAACAGGCCATCATATTCGCATAACGAGCTATATAGTACGAGCATCTCCTGGAACTTGTGGAGGTCTAACAAGCATTTAGTGGTTGCCAAGCTTGTACATAAAACCTTCTTATAAGTTATAATCTATCAAGACTGCACATAAAACCTTGGCCAAGCAAGGTATTCTGTATGGAATTGGTCGACAAACAAAACTAGTTGGTGACAACCTAATCAAGTTAAACATTATTAGAGAAGCATTAATCTATTAATAATTAATCAACAAACTTTATTCAGTTGGGTCATGAACAAAAATAAACTCACTATGAACTTGAGACAATACCCAATCCAAACGACGCTACTTTATCATTAGCAAGTAAAATTACATGAAGAACATCACATGTCACTACCAAAGTTAAAATTTCAGTGCCTAGTAGATGTCCTAAGAAATCAAGACATCGCCTGAAACGGCCGCATACAGGATATGAACTTAACTAAGACACGCAATCTGAACAAGAAAAGAAAGCATCAAAGAGATTTGGAAGCCCAAAACATATACAGGTCCCAACAGAAAGTTCTTCTTATCTAAACGCATATATCACTCTAACCACAACCATGTGAGCAGCAAGCGATTACACATTTGAATGGCCCTCTTTAACATGAATGCAGACACAATTGGAGAAGAGTTAATACTTTGACTCGAAATATAAGATCGGGATTTACATTTGGTCGAGCTGCTTGTTAACCTCTTCCACCTCCTCCAGATCCGTGAGAAGCTGCCGAACGATCGCCCCGTACGTAAGAGTGAACAGTTCCGCGTTCTGCAGAAAGAAATCTCGGAGCAGATAAAAAGAAAGGACGAAGGAGTCCAGCGAAGTGGTGGCAGAGGGAAGAGAATTAGGGTTTCGGCTCCACGATTACTTACAACACGCTCAACGTTAGCGAAGACTGCGTCACCAGACCTCGGAACGACGGGAGCCATGTCGGAATGAAGCAATGGATCGCAGTGGGATTTCAAGGAGGAAAAAACAGACTCCAATCGGCTCTCGTCGCCTGAGTTTTATGAAAGAGCGCCTTCTCCAGTCTGGGATAGGTTGACAGCTGTTTAGTTAAAATAGCCTACAGCGTTTTCTACCCATAATTGTGTGCCACACGTTTTTGTAATTAATAAGTTGGGGAAATAATTCAAATTATTAAAAAAAATAAGTTATGAAAGAATATCCTAATCTCCATTATATATATATATATAATGCAATCATTTGATGAATTTGATTCAATTATGAATGAGTTAAAATATAATTAATTTTAATAATTAATTTTAAATTAAAATGCATATATTTAGAAAAATATCAAATAATATTTATTAAATTTAGTAATTTTGTTATAGGGAAAGTTAATTATTTATTCATAATTCCTAAATTTTATTTTTAAAAAATAAATCAGTATAATTCATTTTTTTGTTTGAGTATTTTATCAAAATAAAAACTATACCAAAAATTCAAAATTAAAAAAAAAGTCAAAATTATAACGGATAAGTAAACATATATTTTAACAATCAAGCCAACCCAATATATTTTAATCAAATGTTCACCCTTTTTGAAAATCATCAAGTTACTTTAATTTTAGTATTGTATATAAAGTGTTTATATTATACTAATATCAAGGTAAATACAATGATTTTTAAGCAAAACGTGATATAATTTGTATTGGGATATCTTGACATAATTTTTTTTGTTAAAATAAAAGATAAGCTACTTTGTCTTTCTATTTATCTCTTATTTAAATTGAGATATTTAACTTTATATATCTATTAGTACACATAATTAGCAAAATATTTGTTGGTTGCTTATTGAAGTCCATTTTATATAGAAATGGCATGAGCCATGTTTTAGCCAAGTTCAAACCCTTGTTTGATGGCTAGGATGGAGCTCATTGAAGCGAGCATCATTGGATCATGATGTGTGAGGAAAATAAAAATTCATGATAGAAGCTTGCCAACAAGATAAATATCATGGAGGAGAAGAGGATTTCATGATGAGAGCTTGCTAGGGGCTCGCCAATGAAATCGATGATGTGTGAGGAGATAAGGATTTTATCATGGAAACTTTGTGGGTGAAGTCTTCGAAAGGAGTGGTGATGTGTTTGAAGAAGAAGATTTCATGACAGAAACTCATTTAAGAGGACAATGACAAGACCGACAACATATGAGGAGAAGAGTTTGCTTATTGTGGACAGCATGAAATGTGCTAACTAGGGAAGGCATTGTAGGATTGGCGTGTTGAAGGAAGATTCAACATTCAAATTAGGATAAAGCCTTCATTTGAACTAGGCTTGAATAAATGTTCAAATTTGAACCAATTCAAACAAAAATTATCAGGACGGACTTCATTAAGCAATATGCGTATATAAGAGCAAGTAAGTTTGTCTGAAACAATTTTTTAGGTATATTTCACCAAGAAATAAACTATGTTTCAATTTGTACTTTAGTTTACACACAGAGACAGATAGGTTTAGGGTTTAAGGTTTAGGGTTTAGGGTTTAGGGAAAGTCCCACAACACAAAGGAATCTTGGACAATGGGCACAAGTCTTTCTTTATTCAAGTTTTTTTTAGTATTAGTATCTCCATTAGAATTAGCATTTCTATTAGCTCTGCTCTTCGCTACGCGCCTTAATGTGCATTATGCGGCATATAAAATCAAATTTCCCTTTTAATTTAATTCTTGCCATTTTAATCATTTTCAATCCAAGTTTTATAATTTAAAATTATTATAATGTTAACGCAAGACATATCCAAAATAGATAGCGTCTTCAAAAGAAAGTTGTAAGACTTGTTATTCATATTACTTTTAATGAAAGTTGTAAGACCCACTTCTAAAAACGATCGGGCTACTTCTAATGAAAGTCATAAGCCCGGATCAATTTAATTAAACAAGTAACTTCTAAATAAAGCCATAAATCCTAAACTAAATCAACTACTGGTAATCTAACATATATAACCCCCAAACTTTTATAAAATTACAACCCACTCCATGGAGGATTTTAATTTCCTGCTGAAGAATCCTTGTTAATTTATCACTTGCAGAGTATAGCAATATTCACATCATTAAAATTTAGAATGGCAAGGCCAGCAAAATCTTGGCTTTAGCACATCTCCCTAGTTGATCATATCAAATATGATTTCATTCGAAGTCCTTTTTGCCCAAAGTAAGCTAAATCTAATGATATCTACTATCTAGCTTTCTCCTTGCCGGATCAGATAACTTAAGGAACAACTAACAGAAAGAAAAAGAGCTAGTAATCACTAATCTGACAAACTTTTTTATAATTATACAAAGGATTACAATCTAATTCGTTAAATTCTTATAATACAATGCAGCAGATTCTGAACAAGTGTAATCAAATCTGACAAAATACTCATCTTCTCCACAGCCATCAGAATCAAAGTTACGCCTGTAACTGAGAGGATCATAGCTACAGTTGAAGTACTTCTCAGGCCTCTTCTCCATGCAGAACATCAAGCATCGCTTCTTCAGCTTCCTCATGAACTGACTGATCAAGCAATTGCAGCATCCTGCAGATACTGAAACTGGCCTGAGACCTGAAAAAGCTTCACTTCCAGATTCATCAATGGCGCTGCAGGCGGAAAGAGCACGCTTCTTCCTCCTCCACTTCATGCCTATGATATTTTCTATCTCCTTTGTATGGAGAGATGGCCAAGCTCCTTGAAACTATAATGAGCTATTTGCTTCCTGGTTTTTCTACTTCATTTATTTATAGTATGAGAGAGCAGGCCTGTAGCAGTTATTTCTGATTAGGTTTGTTCAATAATAATTTAAAATATGAGGGTAATGAGTTTTGATCATAAAAAAATCTGTTTGGATATTCTGATAAGATCTGAATCGAATTATTTAATAACACATTTCCTTAATTTCATGCGTCATATTTTATTTTTTCAGTACAACAAAACTATTACATAAAATCAATAGCCTATTAGATATTCATAGTATAATAAAAAAAAATGAGAATGTCTATTAATTTAGTTATATTATTTAATAATTTAATTATAATTAGAAAAAATACATAATTTATGAAATAAGAAAAAGAATTAGACTTTGGGACAGTTTTCTTACTATTTTTTAAAGTAGATTTTTAGCATAAAAATTTATATTTCAAAAAAATTTTATGCTAAAAAACTGCTTTAGAAAACAGTAAGAGAAAAATTTGTCCTTATGTGGGATCCTTATTTAAAAAGTTAAGAGATTAATATGAGATTTTTTAATAATTAGAGGTCATGCTGGTCCTTATAAAGAGTCAATAGATCATTTTAATTCTTATTTCTTTATGATATTAAGGGCACCCATGATAAAAATAGTTTCATCATGATAAAAATATATATTAAAAAGTTTTGTTGTGGTGACAATGAAATATTGGGCTGGCTATGAGTGGGTTTGTTAGTTTTAGGTAGGATAGAAGGTTAGGTTCTCTTGTGCTTCTTACAAGCAATAATTTTTTTATTCTCTCAGTGAACTCAGTAGAAGCTTGTCTTTTAGTTTTGGATTGGGACAATTTTTTTATTGCTTTTTAAAAAATATTTTTTAGTACACAAATTTATATTTCAAAAAATAATTATACTAAAAATTTACTTTTAAAAAGAGTTAGAAAGTTGGGCTTCGTGTAGGATGATTTTCTTACTGCTTTTTAAAGTAACTTTTTATTATAAAAATTTTGATTTTTATTCTAAAAAATTGCTTCAAGAAGTAATAAGAAAGCCTTCTCAATCTCATGGAAGTCTTAGATTTCATTTGGGATGGCTTTCTTATTGCTTCTTAAATCAGTTTTTTAGTACAAAAAATTAATTTTTCATACTAAAAAATTGTTTTGTGAAGCATTAAGAAAGTCATCTCAAACGAAGTTTTATTACGTTCGCACACCTGACGTAGCTCTACATCCGGACGCCAATAAAATGTCGCCACGTGCTCTTACTCTTTACCCCGCGGCCCAACAACCTGGCCCGGAACGGAAACCCGGTATTGCTATGTTCGTGTATTGCTCGGTATTGCTTGGCAATAACGAGAAATACCGCTCTGTTAAGATCAATACCGATCAATACCTAGCAAAACCGGGGTATTGCTCATTATTGCTATGTATTGGTCTTGACAGAATAGTATTTATCGTTACCGAGCAAAACCTAGTGATGCCCTGGTCGGTACAAATCAGCTAATACATAGCAATTTTGGGTTCAGGTTCGGGTCGGGTCGTCGGGCCGCGCGGTAAAGAGTAAGAGCACGTGGCGATATTTTATTGAGGTCCGGATGTAGAGCTACGTAAGGTGTCCGGACCTAATAAAAATTCCAAACGAAACTTAGGTTTCATTTGGGATGGCTTTATTATTGCTTCTTAAACCAATTTTTTAGCAAAAAAATTTAATTTTTTATACTAAAAAACTGCTTTGTGAAGCATTAAGAAAGTCATCTCAAACGAAGTTTTATTAGGTCCGGACACCTGACGTAGCTCTACATCCGGACGCCAATAAAATGTCGCCGCGTGCTCTTACTCTTTACCCCGCGGCCCAACAACCTGACCCGGAACAGAAACCCGGTATTGCTATGTTCGTGTATTGCTCGGTATTGCTTGGCAATAACGAGAAATACGGCTCTGTTAAGACCAATACCGAGCAATATCGATCAATACCTAGCAAAACCGGGGTATTGCTCATTATTGCTAGGTATTAGTCTTGACAGAATGGTATTTATCATTACCGAGCAAAACCTAGCGATACCCTGATCGGTACAAATCAGCTAATACATAGCAATATTGGGTTCAGGTTCGAGTCGGGTCGTCGGGCCGCGCGGTAAAGAGTAAGAGCACGTGGCGATATTTTATTAAGGTCCGGATGTAGAGCTACGTAAGGTGTCCGGACCTAATAAAAATTCCAAATGAAACCCAGTTTGTTTGGATTTTGGGAGGAAGCTGAAGGTATTTAGGTTTGTCCAATGCAATCAGAACTTTTATGTTTTGTCCTTCTCTGCCCTCTCCCTATCTTGTAGTTAGGCAATGAAAAGGAAAGATTGTTTATTAGATTATT